CATCTTTTTTTTACTTTATTTTTCAATAAAAAAATTTTTTTTTCAGAGCAGTTTTGATTCTCATAATTAAAATTTATGTTATACTTCGTGTTGATAACTTGTATATAAATAAGGAATAAGAGACAGTTGTAATGAAGGAAATCATATGCGTCAGTCTATTTATATTACATGACAAAATATGAAAGAGAACGGTGGTGATATTAAAATAATTCATCTTGTTTTTCATATAGCGTACAAACTAGTGACTTACAAGCATTAAAACGTATACTTTTACACTGTTTCGATAAGGAAAGATAAAAAACGGAAGAGAAAAGAGTTTTTGATTCATATTCGTCTAAGAAATACGTTGTATATTTTTTTAGCTTTAATTTTGTCATGACAACACAGATAAAATAATAAAACTAAAAGCGAGGTATTTAGTATTGATAGTGAGTCAAAGGTAACGAATGTTTTAATAAACAATGTATTAAAGAATCTGCTTGTCTTTTCTTTTGACTAACGATAATAAATGACTATTTTTGCGTTATACTAACGACAAATCATGCTATTCAATATTGATGTTGTTAAATATGGAACGTCTACAATGCATGGCAAAAATTTCAATATTTGTTTTATCGATTTTCTTTCTCTTTGTTCTAATATACCTAATGAAATAATGCGAAAAAATATAGATGATATACATATTTATTGATCAAATATAAATTTTATAAATTTGTTTTTTTTTATTAATTTAGGGATTTTCGTGATGAATTAGTTGAAAGATTTGCTGTATATTCACAAGATTATTCAATCAAACAACATCGATGCAAAGAGCTTTTTGTTGATGAAAATTTGCTATTAAACAAAATTTCTTATCAAATTGTAAATGAAGAATGGCAATAATATACGATATAATAGTCGATGATATTATTACTTTTAATAGAAATTTCAAATCAATACTAATACATTATTGTAAAATTAGTTGTTTAATTAATATTTTAAAATAAAATTTTTGTAAGAATATCATGGTTCGGTGTTTGTATTCTTAGGTAATGATACTTAACATTCTATTATCAAGGTCTATTGAAATATAGTTATGTCGATAGTATATTATTTTCATTCAATGTCACTGATGCAAAATATTAACTATGTTGATGAAGTTGACCTTAATAACAAGACAATTTCAGTAAGAAAAAAAACGAGATTTTGACAAAAATGATCGTTTTTATAATTACTTTTGTTTTTTCTTATATTTTATTAGTGCTTGATCAATTTGAAAAACATGGTTACATATCAAAAGTTCAAAAACATGATGAATGTTTACATTTTTGTAATATGCTCAATTGTCTTCTTCAACCTGACAATTTATCTCAATCAATTAACTTAATTCAGTTTAATGATAAAAAAAACTCCAGAAAATTGATTGTAGCAATCTTTATTTTATAGTCTATGAAAGAATTCACTGGTTCTTTTAACTTAAGTATGCCCATTTCAAACCACTATAACATCAGATTAAAGAGGATATGAATCAATGGTATTAGACATCAAGTAAAAACATATCTTTGTTCTATATGAGAACTATTTCTTAGACATAGAAAATTTTGAATGGTTTTTTTAAAGTTCAGATTGAATCAAACATTTTTCAATTCGAAGCAACTCGACATATTTTATTATTTGTCATTGATGAAGCAAGAGAATATCAATTGATTATGACACATATCACGTAAGGCAAATAAACATTTAATATGAGTTGATTAAATTCTTGAAAAGACTAGTTTATCGTTGAGTGATAATGAACGCCAGGCAATTAAATTCAAATTATCGGTTTGGAAATCAGTATTAGTTGTCATTTTAAAGATTTGAGAAAGATAAAATATTTTTATTGTCTTTCTCAGAGATCGAAACTTCATCAATCTCAATGTATTTGTAACTGTCGATGGTATCTTTCAACGATTCGTTAGTATTTTACTTATATATAACCTGACAAGTTTAATTGAAAGAAAAGTAAATAATGAATTGTTTTATTTTCCTATATGAATTTCTGCAGTTCCACATGATCTAAAAAAATCAATATGAAAATAGTGTCTATCGAATTAATTTTAATCTTTTTAATCTTTTAGAATAAACTAACGTCTGTCGTAAAGAAATTATAAAATTTTTCTCAATAGATGAAGATAATACATTTCATGAAATTCTTATTTGTATACCTTTTGATAAGCCTTATACATACAATAGAATTGATTCGATTACTAATATAGAACAAGTTCAAAATTTATTTCAATTTTTACGAAAAACGCTCGTCTCATCTATTTATTATAATTCATCTTAAAAGGTCTTCAAATGTTTATCTGTACAAACTTTCTTAATAGTATTCGTATAATAATTATTTTCAACGATTGACGTAGTTGTAGTAATAGATTTTTTAAAAGTTTTCTTTCATATGCAGACATCTAGTTTACATACTATCGTCTTCTCTATAAATAATATTATATGGATTTCTTCTCAATCTAAAATAATTAACAAGAACTCGATTGCATATTTCATAATCTATTTATCATTTTGAACATTAAAAATTATTGTTTAACTCACTTATTGGAAAGACTATTTTAAGCGGAATATATCAATTGAAATAATATTAAAATATTCATTTGTTCTACTTTGAAGATAGTGTATTCTCTTTTTCTATTGCTTTCATGTTGGAAAACTTGACAAAAATAGAGCAGCTTTTTTTTTGTTCTGTTTGAAACAGTTCTTTTATTCATATTTATTTCAAATAATGGATAAGAAAATATAAGTGAATGGATTGAAGAAAAACTATCTATGATATTTAGGGTTTACCAAAAGTTCTGGACACAGTGTTTAAAGTTTTATAAAATAGTTAATATCGAAAGTTTTATTATATGAATACATTGCATAATGTCTCGTCTATAATAATGTACATAATGACTCTATCTTGAATTTAATTCTAACATTCTTTTACATAAAGTGTAATTAGGATTGACCAAAAATTCTGATAATATCAAATAAAATTATAGAAAAAAAGAAATATTTTTAGTCTTATTTTATTAAATGTTCAGTATAGTCAACATTATTATTTATACAAAGTTCCATCCTTTCTAACAGTTTCGGTAAAATTTATTTAAAACTCTTTTTTAGGAATATTCTTTACTATCTTCAAAACCTTTAAAGCTAGGGATTTTTCATTTGTTTGATCAGTCAAATATTCGCAGAGTGACTATATAATAAATTTTATCTGAAAGAATGTTAGAAATAAATCCAATATAGAATCGTTATGTACATACATTATTACAGACGAGACATTCTACTATGTATTCATGTAATAAAACTTTCGATATTAACTATTTTATAAAATTTTAAAAAGCGTGATCAGAACTTTTGGTCAACTCTGAGTATATTAATTATTTTTTATTTTGAATAAAATTGAAATCAGCCCAAACATAAATATGATCGCTTCCAAAGGTTCTTAGAGTATCTTCGAGCGATCGATCTCGAACATTCCATGCTTTACCATATTTAATCAATGTAACTTGTTTTGGATCATAAAAAATATGATCAATAGAAATATTTGTTTCTTCATCATGCCGATCAGTATAATAAGATGGAATGATTATATCTGTATTTGATTCGTTGAAAACATTCTTAAATTCAAACCATTCAAATTGTTCATAGACATCTTTATCTGCATTCATATCACCAGCCATAATTGACATAGAACGTGATGTACCTAGTAATTCGTTGCATTTATTTTTGACTATTTTTGCTTGTGGTAATGGACAAATATAATCTAGATGAAGATTAACTAAATGGATATTTTTTGATGGAATGTAAACAATTTGGATTGCATCACCTTGTTCACGATCAAGAATTCCATTAATAATCTTAGCTTCTTTAGCATATTTCCAATCTTTATGAATTAATATAAGAAGTCCATTACCAATTGGAGATGGAGTTGGATTATTTGGTGCAAATTCAGCTAAGTAATCATTACCTAATTCTTCTTGAAATAAAGGAATCATATCTTCTTGTGCTTCTTGGATCATAATGACATTACAATTACGCGAAGAGATATTTGATGCAATCGTTTTAATTCGTGTTTCATAATCGGCAGCTAAATCATATACAGATGGATACCATTCTTTTTCAACCCAACAAGGAGCTAATATGTTCCAACTCATAAGTGATAAATCATATACTTTGGTCGGATTCATTCTTCGAATGGAATAAATGAAAAAGAATGTTTTATCTAAAATTTTTCAAAATAATTAATCAAGAAATTCACTTTTTCTCATCGATTTTTATCAATTTATTTATTTATTTATTTGTTTACTTATAAAAGTAACTATGTTTGAATATTACCTTGAAACATTGGTTTTTCTTTTCCTTCTCATTCCTTCATTTTTTACAGGTGTCATATTTGTCAATGAACGAAGTAATCACCTGCAGAAACGATAGGGGTCATAATAATACTCAGGCTGATTAAGCTAAGAGCAATATTGCTTGCTAATATGTACTTATAACGATAAAATGTGAAGGAGAGATGTTATGACAGACTGGAGGAGTAGTTAGCCGCTACTCGGCAATGATGTTTATTAGCTACTTCACATC